GACTCTTTTTCTTCTCTCTCCCTCTCTTTCTTTCTTCCTCTCTCTCTCTCTCTCTCTCTCTCTCTTTTTTTTTTTTAAGAGAGCATCTCACTATGTTGCCCAGCTGGCCACGAACCCCTGGGCTCAAGCAACTGTCTTGCCTCAGCCTCCTGAGTAGCTGGGACTATAGATGTGCCAAATCTACTTTTCCCTACCTTTTTGGAACTACTAGTCATCCCCTCTCTACCTTGTCTATATTCTCTTTCCCCTCCACCAGATCCCAGAGCCCTCCAATTTTCACCTTCCCTCCCATCAAAACTCATTCACAAGAAAGAGTTTCAAATGACCAAATCTGTGGGGGCTGGCACTGCACAATTCTAAGAGGCTTCATGTGTGGTGCTTCCTAGTGACATCTTTCACTGGGCAAAGGCAAATCTCAAGCCAGGGGATGAATCTGAAATGGTGGGAGTTTTGTCCTGGTTGAACTGATGAGAGGTTTCTGAGGAGGACTAAGGGAATCTGCCCCCAGTCCCTGAAATTACAGACAGCTGCTCCTCTTGATGACTTAGAAGCCCGTTCTTGTTCCCAGCGTAACCCCCTAGGCAATTAAAGTCAATCTCATGTTGCCATTAAAAAAGCCAATTGACGTTATGTTGAAAGACAGCATGTGTCAGCCATTTCCCCTGAGTTGCCCTCTCTGTAGACCTACAGCTTTTCTCCTTCACTAAGGTTAACGTTCCCATAGGGATCTGACATAAGGCAGAGTCATTTGCGCTCATTAAGCTTGTAGGATTTTTCTACATCTCAAGTAAATACGTTTGGTGAAATAGGTCCAGCTCTTTGGAATACAAATCCTTAGCTCGAGGTTGCTTGAGTGGAAATTTTTAACAAGCAGTTCCCTCAGCTACAGAGCCATGTGAAATGTGATTTTCTTAATGTGTGTGTTCCCACAGAAGCTAATAAATGGACATTACTCTGGTATGGACACATCCTATTACTCAGCTTGATCCCAATATCACTGGCAAAAAACCTATTTGCTGCACTAGCAAACGGTTGAATTCATTATGTCCGGCTACATGAATAATACCCAGGCGGATTCTTGTTGACACAGACAAAACGCCAGTCTCTGAGGCGCGACAGAGCTGCCAGGCAGAGCAGCCGGCACCGCCACGCTCCCTCCCTCTGCGCCCATGGTGTTCCACTAATCAGAAGTCACCACTCGCTGCCGATAGGGTGATGGATGGCAGACTCCTGACACCTCGTTATTTCTGAGACAAAAGGAAAAAAAAAAAAAAAAAAGGACACCAGGAAGGAATAATCTGTCGGTGTAAGTGGGGGAAGGAGAAGGTGCACAGCACGGGAGGAAGACTCCCCGGTTCGCCGCACCTGCGTCGCTCAGGGAGCTGGAAAATAGGTCCCATTATGCAGCCAGTCTACATGGTAATTATGGGTTCTCAGGCTGAAGGGGTTCACTGAAGGCTGTTTGCTCTCCTCCCTGCCTTGGGGTAGAATCATCCCCGCACCCACGCCACTGTGGGTTGGAAAGACTTCCCTGCAAAGAGACTGCGTCGTCACTTGTCACTCACTCCAGATAGGCACAACCCTGTAGAACACATTTGGAAAGGGTTCTCGGGTTTAAGGAGTGACAGCTCTTGAGAAACAGAGCACCTGGAGCCTTCAGTGAGAGGCTCTGCCCTGTGGAGCATGCAGTGATTCTGCAGGAACACCAGGCAGTTCCCTGGGCAATCCCTTCTTAGCCTGAAGCTTTCTCCACTTTCCTGACAATTCCCAGATTGCTCGGAAGGGAAGTAAAATCATCCCACCAAGCATATCCTGTACAGTCAGCATATGCAACACTCTGATTGTCCATTCCCCTGTGCTCAAGAAATAGTTCATTGTTAGAGTGTTCACTTTTTGGAAGTGCTATTGCTCTAACTGGGTAATGTTCCCTACTGGTTCCCAGCAGTTATTTTTTTCCTCTGTTGTCCTTGAGGTCCAGGCAAACAGTCCACTAGCTCTGCACGGAAAGCCCTTTGTCATGAAGCTCTTTCTAAACCAGGGTGTAGAAAGCATTCATCAGCTTGATGCAATTTCCCCTTCCTTTGCACTGCTATAGCAGTTTGTATCCCACTGTCACTTCGGTTATCCATTCACTTATTTATCAAGTATCTCTTAAGAACCTACTACATGTACACCAGGCATAGTTCTAGGCAGTGAGGATGCAATTATGAACAAGACAGATAATAGCCTAACCTAATGGAGCTTACGGTCTGGTGGAGAAGATAGTAAAAAAGTTCCACCTCTTGCTGCTGAGAGTGGAGTCAAAGATTTTTACAGCTGGAGAAATTAAAATCATAATCCCTCCAAATTCTCTGACTCAGCCTTGTTTCAAATTATAGGTCGCAGAGGTGTTTGACAAGCCATGGGTAAAAGAATATCTTTAAAAACTATGTTTTATTGCTTTCATTTTTTATTTACTTGTTTATTTATTTGAGACAGAGTCTCGCTTTTTCACCCAAGCTGGAGTGCAATGGTATGATCTCAACTCATTGCAGCCTCTGCCTCCTGGGTCCAAGCAATTCTCCCTCCTCAGCTTCCCTAGCAGCTGGGATTACAGGCACCTGCCATCATGCCTGGCTAATTTTTGTAATTTTGTAGAGATGGGGTTTCACCATGTTGGCCAGGCTGATGTTGAACTCCTGACCTCAGGTGATCCACCCACCTTGGCCTCCCAAAGTGCTGGGGTTACAGGCATGAGCCACTGCATCCGGCCTGATGTCGTTTTAAAACAAGAATCTCTATCTTAATGAACAGTGTTCTCGTCCTCTTCCAAGGGCTTCCCTGAGGCTGCCAATCTCCAAAAATTGTTTTATAGTTTCCAAATTTCCTACTTCCTCTTCCCCAATCAGAATCTTTATTCTTATAGGGCAAGCTGTTTAACTAGGTATGAAAGAGAAAACAGTCTTACTAAATTAATTCATACTAATGTGTGAATGACTAACTAAGCCAAACTCCTCCATTTTGACTTTTTGTAAGAGAATATTTACTAACCCTAAATAGCGTCTAGATTTTCGGCCTTCACTATAAGCTGAGGGGAAAAGGCAATATAGGAAAGATTTCTACTAAGTTATAAGCGAAAGTTCCCTGAGGACGGAGACCATCTCATTTTGGGGTTACTCAGTTACCTAGTCTAATCAACTAAGTGCCCAACCAATAGTTATTGAATTGAAAAGAATGTGGAAACACAGCGTGGACAGGAGAAGCGAGAAGGTAGGAAAGCAGGGGAAGTGAGGGGAAAGAAAAGACAGGAAGGAAAAAGAGAGAAAAGGGAGGAGGGGGGAATGAGAGAGCAAGGAAATCCAAGAGAGGGAAGGAGAACTAAACACAAGCCTCACTTTTGCAGTGAGCGCCCTCAGAGAAACTGCAGCCAAAAAAAAAAAAAAAAAATTATTTGCAATAGAGAAAAAAAATTGAAAACTGCTGCTGTTTCAGGGTGCCAGCAAGAGAATGGAGTCAAGAGACGCTGAGCCCTAAGGAAAGATATTGATCAAAGCCATACATTTCCATTTTCTAGTACGATAGCAATGACTCATGACAGATAACTGGCCACCGTCAATGAGCCTCCCTGAGGGGCCCTTGTACCCAGCAGAATGGGTCTATGATCATCTAACAGTCACAGGAACTCAGGGACTAACCCTGTTAGGGTTATGAAAATGGATCTCTGTAGAGTCAATATAATTAAAGAGTGCATTCATCCGTAGAAGGCCACAGTGGAATTTTCCACAGAAGCCAAACTAAAGTGGAGACTTGAGAAAGAAGTGGAGGTCAGAAGGCAAGAGCCAGGACCTCCAGTTTTCTTTGGGATCTCAGGAAATAAGAGAAAAAGTCTTTTTTTTTAGCTGCTAAAGAAGAAAAGTGAAGCAGCAGACTGGCTACAGGGAACCCAGGAGACCAAATGTTCTCTAGAAGCTAGAGAGAGACGGGCACAGGGGCTCTGAGCAACAGAATCCTCAAACAAGATCAGCCCAAGAACCAAAGGATTGGCACCATTTTTGCCAAGTTATACATCAGGGAATATAACCTGCGCACTGTGTGATGGGCCCGCTCTAGACAGAAATATCAGAAATGGTCCTGCTCAGTTCACAGCCAATAAGATCACATGCATTTAAGTGCTTGCCTCCATCTGTACCAATGGGGAAAGCTCAGTGCCTGGCTTTAGAGCCTGACCCTGCCACCCAGGGTTTTATGACCTTGGTTAAGCTACTTAATCACTGTCATCCTCCATTTCCTCATTTGTAAAGTGGGGGGAAAGCTTTCTCTACCATTTAGTAAGTATTTCCTATTGCCAGACGGTATGCACTCTACAAATACTATCTTCTTTACTCTTTACCACCATCCCAAGAGGTAGGTATTATAACTGTCTTGCCAGATGAGGAAAATGAAGCTTAGAGAGATTACCATGCATGTCCAAGGTGTCACAGCTGGGAAGTATTAGGAATGGAACCGACGGTAAGTCTAACGTCAGGGTCCACAGCCTCAGACTGTGCAGCACTGCCTATCCAGCTGCCCTAAAACCACAGAGTCGAATGCAGATGGGAATTTTCCATGCTTCAGTTCAAACACAGCTGAGGAAGCACCCTCTTCCTCTGTCACAGCAGGATCTACAAAAGGAAGTCTTCCCCTGTTTGTCAGTGAACAAAAGACACAGCGCCTTTCTCTGGGTGTTTGTTTTATTTGCTGGCATCCTAAACCTACAGACTGGGAAACATCATTCTCAGCACCCCCAGGTCTCCAGCGAGCAGAACTATGATAAGGAACTGCCGTTTGTCAGCTTTCCTCCGTACCTCGACAGGGCAAGGGCATTGCCAAAATATGGTCCCTATTTCTGTGGATTGTCAGCGGCTGCAACCTTGGAATTCAACCTCTCCAGCTTATTAACACAACAAATTACTCACCACAAGAACTGCGGAGTGCATCTGCTTGGAAAAATGGTCTCTTTTTTAATGAAGTGATTTAATTACGAGCAATTTTCCCATCAGCTCAGTTGTCAGAGCATGGCTGAGGCAGCCATTGAGATGAGCGTTTGGCCTGTGCCTTCCTGCTCCCTCCTTTCTGATGCCACCTTTTGGAGAAGGAGGAAAGTGAAACCGGTTTAGGAAAACACCGTTCAAGCTGGGAAAGGAGACAGATCAGGCCTGAAGGCTGTTTTGTAAGGTCTTCAGAGTCCACCGTCTCAGGATGTGATTTGCCCATTTGTAGCATGATTCTCCCTACGGGGATTTTTTTAAAGACTTGCACATCTTGTGTGTCTCCCTTCTGCTCCTTGCCCTTAGCCATGATCTCCCCCAGGCTTGGTGGCTGAGCAAACAAAATGAATTTCAAAGCATTCCTTGCTGGAAGTGTGTAACTCTGAAGATGTTTGGGAGGAAGGGCTAGTGCATGGTTGAATTCAGTTCTCTGGAATCCACAGACTGCAAGGTTTCTAAATTGCATTAGAAATCTGATTTTTTTTTTTTTTTAAATGAGACAAGGTCTTGCTTTGTCACCCAGGCTGGAGTGCAGTGGCGTGATCACAGCTCACTTCAGCCTTGACTCCCTAGGCTCAAGCGATCCTCTCGCAGCAGCGCCCCTACCCCCTGCCCAAGCAGTTGGGACTACAGCTATATGCCACCATGCCCAACTAATTTTTGTGTTTTGGGCAGAGACAGGGTATCACCATGTTGCCCAGTCTGGTTTGAATTCCTGAGCTCAAGCAATCCTCCCGCCTCCCAAAGTGCTGGGATTATTGGTAGGAGCCACTGGGCCCACAGTGACTTTTTTTTAAAGCTTAATTTCCATCCTCAACCACTTGATTTTGACTTTTCACTGCATTTCCATCATATTTTCGGCTCTCAGATATACAGTATTTGACATGCGTGGATGCCTGTCATTCTGTATCATACATGTGAGCCTTCTACCACACCTCCCAGATTTGGGTAATAAGCAGGTAAGAGTCCTCGATGCCAATGGAATTGGCAATTTTTCTAGAAAAAGGGGGATAAAGTTGAAGTTTAGGTTAAGTGACTAAATGTTTTGTAAAAAGGTATCAGTGTTGAGAAGATCAGAGAGCTCAATGAGTCTAGTGCGGAAAGAGTTCATGGAGACAGTGAGTTTTTGAACATGGTCTGAAAACGTATGAAAGATTTGTGGCTCCCTTTATTCACATTTAATCTTTTTTTTTCCCTAAGAAAACCAAATAGTCACAAATTCTTTCTACTGACTTACAAAAACTGACAGCAGAAATGTAATCTTTACAAGGGAAATAGTTTTTCAGTGTTGTACGAAAGCCTCATTTGGTGTATGGTTGGGATGGCATACAAGCAATTCTGTAAACCAGAGCACTGTTTACAAATGCTAGCTAAGACCTTGTAGTGAGTTTGTGGGGCATGACTAGCACTTTTTAAAAGGAGATAATCAAACAGAAAAGGACATAATAAAAACCACCAGTTTGATAATTATAGGTGTAAAAATCTTACACACACACCATGTACCAGCATAAAAGGTAGTTCTTACCAGTGGTTCATGGGGCTCAAAATGTGGCATCAGAAGATCTAGGTTCTGGTTTTGTTTCTTCCATTAACTAACAATGTGACTTGGGCAAGTATTTCATTTCTCTTCTTTAAGCCTCTCTTTCATTATCTGCTCAATGAAGGCTGAGATAACTATTTAAGCTTCTATTAGGCTATGAAATATAAGAAATATAAATAGATCCCTGCAAAACTGTACCACATCCCCAAGTTAACTAAAATGAGTCGAAAGTGTTTTGAATTACCTGCGTCATTGCTTCTCCAATGATATCTGGGTGGCTACTCAATACTCAACAGAGATAAGCCCTTTGCTTCATGTAGCCATCTTGTCAAAGGACTTTAAGTTTATTGCAGTCTTTATGAAAAGGATATTTCAAGTCCTAATCAATTTCAGAAGCAAGTACATCAAAGACAAAATCGTGGAACAATAACACGCTGTGCGATCCATGCGTCTCCACCACCAGCCCCTCATCTCCCTGAAAAAAGGAAATGCAAGAAGAAATACAAAGCTTTGTGCAGCTAGGGATCATACCTTGTGAGAGTGAAAGCACGGCTCTCTCTGATGTTTCTCATTCAAATGGAATGTCACCTGCTGCCTTCCAGAACAAAAAGTTCCCTTCACATGTTCTGTATCATAACTACGCCTTCTTTGCAATTGAACAAATGTCTGACTTTTATCACAGATGGCCACTCTTTAGGCACAAATGTAATCTGTCACAAACTAGCTCTGTGGACCAGTCCTAGTCTCAGTCAAGACTTCCCTGCAAAGTCACAACACTCAATTTTCACAGGAATGCATTTCAGATGGCCCACCAATTTTCTGCATATCCTACACATATTATGTTGAACTGTCCTTGAACTTGGTCTACTCTAGCATCTGAAATTTGGATGTAATAGAACTTAAGTCTTGATAATGGATAATAGCATGATTATAGCAATTACTGTAATGCTTTATAATTATGCATTTATGTGTATGTCTCTTTCATTACATTGTGAACACTTTGAGGTCTAGGATTTAGTCATGTATATCGTTAAATTCCTCAGCAAGAGCATCTTCTGACCTATTCTAGCCTCTAAATAAATTCTGTTGAGGTTCAATTTATCACTGAAGGAGAGAAGAAAAGACATTTAAAACAACAACAAAAACAAAAACAGTTGGAGTTATAAGGAGGATCTTACATTTAAATGAATTGTATATGTAGTATCAAAAAAGATCCAATTTTCACCTAAAGGGATTATTGTTATTTAAAAGAATTCTGAAGGTCATCTACACCCAGGGTTGGCAAACTGGCCTGTGGGTCAAACCCAGCCCACTGCCTGTTTGCCTGTTTTTGTAAATAAAGTTTTATTGGAACACAGCCACACATTGCCTATAGCTGCTGTTGTATGACAACTGCAGGATTGAGTAGTTGTGACAGAAACGGTATTGCCCATAGGGTCTGTTTACTAGCTGGCCTTTTACTCAGAAAGTTTGCTGACCCCGAGTCTAGAGTACCACTCTCATTTGACATGAAAGGAAATTGAGGCCAGGGAGAGGAAAGGACTTTTTCAGGCTCATTAGCAGCACAGCTGAGACTATACTCTAGGTTTCACCTTTCAGTCTCTCTTTTTGAATATTCCTGTTTCTTCCCTGGAATAGCAAATTCTCACATTGAAGATGTGATTCAGGGGGAGCTAGGAAACTGTCCTCATGTTTTTCTGCTTAGCTAAGAAAATACATGTGAACTTCCTCTCAGAGCTGGTGGGTGATGTTCTTTTATTCCATCTATGTCCATTCTAAAGAGTGACAGCGTCTCAGCTTGAACCTCAACTTTATTTACCTTGGATCCAGACACCCCTAAGCATGTTTGAGGAATTGTGGCTTGGGTTCCTCTAAGAGACCTTTCTTGTGAGTCTCCCAGGGGAGTTCACCTGAAGGAGCAAAGAGTAGAGTTGCACAAATCTGGGTCCATGTAAGAGGAGCAGAGAAACTCAGATGGTGCTAAGGGCACCTGCCTGAGTCCTAGGCAGAAAAGGCTGCCATAAGGAGAGAACTGAGTTGTTCCATAGAGCCTGGCAGGGACATGGAGGGCATCAGACAGCACAGGGGCACTTGTGGCCCTGGTACCAGTGGCTTTGACATCCTGAGTGGTATGTGCACAGGAGCATGTGATCTCTGTAATAGAACTCTGCACAGAAGTTTCAGGGCAAAACTAGAGAGAAATGATGGTATTAGTGATATGTACCAGAGGACTGTGCTATGTGCCCGTTTAGAGTGCTCCTTGGGGTGCCCTAGAACCAGCAGGGAAAAAAAGGCAGGGGCTAGAGGGTTCATAGCAGCAAACAGGGCTGAACCAGATAAATGCTCTCCTTTTTTTTTTTTTTTTTTTTTGAGACAGAGTGTTGTTCTGTCGCCAGGTGCCAGGCTGGAGTACAGTGGGGAAATCTCGGCTCACTGCAATCTCTGCCTCCTGGGTTCAAGCAATTCTCCTGCCTCAGCCTCCCTAGTAGCTGGGACTACAGACACAGGCCACCACACCCAGCAAATTTTTGTATTTTTTAGTAGAGATGGGATTTCACCATGTGGGCCAGGATGGTCTCGATCTCTTGACCTTGTGATCCACCCGCCTCGGCCTCCCAAAGTGCTGGGATTATAAGCGTGAGCCACCGCACCCGGTCAATGCTCTCTTTTTTAAAATCCTGGGTTAGTATATCAGGTGACAGTAACAGTTATAAGTGTTAATTCTCTCATTTGCCTCTGCCAGTTTTAGAATGTTGTAGAGGTGAATTTGAGTTCTTCCCAAGCCACATCCCCTGAGGTGGACGGTAAAGCCTCCAAAGCTCCACTGCTGAGTTTATTCATCCTGGTTCAGTAGGGCAGGGAGATCCTCCAAGTCATTCAACAGGCAATTCCCTCACTGTCAGATACCGCTTGTCTATAAATACAGCCCACAGTGTTGATGCTATTGGCACAGCCGACCTAAACTTGAGTGGGATCCAGAGAAATGGCTTCTGGCCTGTGAAGGAAAAAGCAAAAGAAAACAAACACTTGTTTAACAATGATTTAATTCCCTTCCTCACAGGAAAGACTGGCTTACAAATCTGGGACTTAAACTGGTAGGCAAGGAGGGGGAAGTGTGTTCACCCCAGGTAGGTGGTCATTTCTACCTTCCGCCTGAAGAATGTGGATGGAAATCTCAGGGGGGGAAAAGGAGGCAGGGATTGCAGGTTGGATTAGCTCACTCTGAAGATCATTTTCTAGGTTTATTGGTGATCCTGCATTGCGGCTTTATTTATCGGCAAGTGGTATCTTACCAAGAGTGATGACTGCTCGCCGCACTGCGTACCCTGCCTACTTTTCCTTGCCTGACATTGCCATCCAAACTCGCAGAAGCCAATGACAGGATTAATACTTGTAACTGCTACTGTCACCTGCTATACCAGCCCAGGATTTTTTGAGAGAGAGCGAGAGAGTGAGTGAGAGAGCGCATTTCTCTGGTTCCAATTACTCATGATTAGTGGCCAGATTCTGTAAAATCAGATGTTAACTTGAGAAGCTTGCTACATTGCAAATGACTCTTGTTCAGTAGAAAGGCAAATGAATTCTGTCAAATAGAAAACATAACCCCCCTCTATGGGCGGGATTTGATGGTGTGCTGTCTCACAGAAAGTTCTCCACTCCCAGACGTGGGTCCTTCAACTTCCTGCCTCAGAAGTGCAGCAGCAGGCATCGTGGGAAGGTGAAGAGCCTGCTTAGAATGACCCTTCCAAGCCGGTCCACCTCACAGCCTTCCTGGGATACAAGGCTGGCATGACCCACATCGTGCGGGAAGTCCAAAGGCCAGGATCCAAGGTGAACAAGAAGGAGGTGGTGGATGCTGTGACCACTGTGGAGACGCCACCCATCGTGGTTGTGGGCATTGTGGGCTACGTGGAAACCCCTCGAGGCCTCTGGACCTTCAAGACTGTCTTCGCTGAGCACATCAGCAATGTGTGCAAGAGGCATTTCCATAAGAACTGACATAAATCTAAGAAGAAGGCCTTCGCCAAGGACTGCAAGAAGAGGCAGGATGAGGACAGCAAGAAGCCGCTGGAGCAGGACTTCAGCAGCACCAAGAAGCAAGGCCCAGTCATCCGCGTCACTGCTCACACCCAGATGCGTCTGCTTCCTCTGTGCCAGAAGAAGGCCCACCTGATGGAGACCCAGGTGAACAGAGGCACCGTGGCTGAGAAGCTGGACTGGGCCCACAAGAGGCTGCAGCAGCAGGTACCTGGGAACCAATTGTTTGGGCAGGATGCGATGATCAACGTCATTGGGGTGACCAAGGGCAAGGGCTACAAAGGGGTCACCTGTCATTGGCACATCAAAAAGCTGCTCTGCAAGATCCACCAAGGCCTGTACTAGGTGGCCTGTGTTGGGGCATGGCATCCCGCCCGTGAGGCCTTCTCTAGCACGCGCTGGGCAGAAAGGCTACCATCACCACACTGAGATCAACAAGAAGATCTATAAGATCGGCCAGGGCTACCTTATCAAGGACACAAACCGATCAAGAACAGTGCCCCACTGACTATGAGCTGTCTGACAAGAGCATCAACCCTCTGGGTAGCTTTGTTCCCTATGGTGAAGTGACCAATGACTTTGTCATGCTGAAAGGCTGTGTGGTGGGAACCAAGAAGCAAGTCCTCAGCCTGCAAGTCCTTGCTGGTGCAGACCAAACGGTGGGCTCTGGAGAATATTGATCTGAAGTTCATTGACACCACCTCCAAGTTTGGTCATGGCCACTTCCAGACCATGGAGAAGAAGAAAGCATTCACGGGACCGCTCAATAAAAACCGAATTGCAAAGGAAGCGGAAGCTTAATGCGAGGAACAGATTTTGTAGGTGGGCTCTCCATAAAAGTTTCCACTGAAAAAAAGAAGAAAAAACATAATCTCAAAGGGTCTGATCTTATTGCTGTGTAGGACATTAAGTAATTTTGCCCAGCTTTGCAAACCCTCTTCTTCATCCTTACTCTCAATGATTATCCTGTATTCTCCTTTGACTTGGATTTGTCTTCCTGCCGGTTCCCTCACTAACCAGTTAGATCAATCTTCAACTAGATCTGTATGCGCATCTCGCTTTTAACATTGAATAGCAACCCCCTTCTCCAAACTTCTCTGTGAGCTTCTCTGTTTATAATTATCCATCTTATTCTCTATGCATCATAATGAATTGGACTCATCTGGCTTTCATTTCTTAGCTGGCAGATTAAACAAAGTCTCTTTGTTTTATTAT